CTTAGGCTAATGCCGTTTGGACTCCAGAAATTTCGTCTTCGAGCTCGTTTTCAAACTGCCTAAGTCACCAAATCCACTAAAAACTTGTATATAGGTATAATTCAACATCCTGATCACGAATATGACATTCATTTTTGGCGCTGGCGCTAATGGATGACACTACGGTTACCTGCGCTCTGCTAAGGCTGAGCCCAGGAGGTAATCGTAGTGTCCTCTCTTGGCGCCAGCGCCAAGAATGAGTGTCATACTCGTAATCAGGATGTTGAATTACCCCTATATACAAGTTTTTAGTGGATTTGGTGACTTAGGCAATTTGAAAATGAGCTCGAAGACGAAATTTCTGGAGTCCAAACGGCATTAGCCTACTTAGTCAAGGTGGCGCTACGGATCACTATTGGCAGAGCAAAGCAACAGGAGGCGGGATGACCCCGCCTCCTGTTGCTTTGCTCTGCCAGTAGTGATCGATTAGTGATCAGTTCAAGAAGTACAACAAACAGAGGTGAAAATGTCGCAGATATGGTCATTTCATGCCTCGTTACACCGCCCCGACTGATTGTGACGATATCTACTGCACGCATGCAGGATTGATTATACACTTTGAATTCTTATTGATAGAGACGACTTGCAGTTTTGCCTATTTTCAGGTTACCTATTGGTAACGCTGAAATAGGTATTCGTTCATTTGTATGTATATCTTTGTTGCTCAAAAAACCGCTTTTCTGGATTTGAAATAAATATTCAACAACCTTACCACGTGAATACGAACACTTAGCAACGTCTTCTCAAACAGCAGCTTATTCTTGAATCTCTGAACGAGGTTGCCTGGGTTTTTTGTTGCATATTAGCGTCCGTATGCAGTCCAGAGCACATAATGTGGAGGAGTTTCAGACCAAGGGAGCAGTAGCAGGAGGAGCGGTCATATTCCATTTGGGGTCGACGGGGGATAGGTTAGTATTTTGCCTAATGGAAATTTTTTGTTGGATGGATTTGTTTGGATCAGTCGCAAGTAGTAGGTGGGGAAAAAAGCACGCTTAATACAGCAGTAATCAAAATTATTTTCACCACATCAAACCACCGCACCCACCCAAGAAACTGGATGAGGCCCTGCTTATGCTCCCCTGCCTTCATAAAAACATAAGGCGCGATAATTCGGTATTCGCTAGAAAATATTATCAGAGATGTTATATGACGAGGGAAATGACCAGAGTGCGAAGGTAAACGACCAAAAACTGGCGGAAAGAAAATCTTTCTTCTGTACGGCGTTGGACGAGTTTTCCTTCGGCATCGTGCCAACAACGCTTTGATACACGGCTTGCTGCACGTATGAGTTCATATATCCATGTAGTGACGCTTCATGTAAACTGTACCATAAGTGAAGCGATAAGAGTACCAGGGTCGATGTGACTGTCCGT